CAGAAGCGAGGATGGAAGCATGAAGGGGGAAGGGTAGGTGTCGTTTTTAGAGAGTACAAAAGCGGAAGTGATAGACCAGACTAAGCAGAAGAGAGATGAGTGCTATCAGGGTTTGGACAGCCTGGTTGGATTATGACTGCAAAGCTGTAATGCTTTAAGGTCACCATAAAGGATCCGTTTCCCTCCCCTCTCTAAGAATACTTAGTGTTTTCTAAGCAAAGAATAGAAGTACGCTCTTCAAATTCAAGGTTCTTTATTGGCATCTATATGGTTCCAAGAAAAATCTTATAACTTCCGTGGAAGTTGCTTTATAGTGGAACATATTCCAATAATCTTCTTTGAAAAATATTTTTTCATTATTTTGTAACTGAAGAAGAGTATTATTAATAAACATTACTTTCCAGTAAAATGATGTATCTGGAATACCTATATATATATTTAAAGCAAGATAAACTTGCCTGAGAAGTGAAACTGCATGAGGTAAAACTCATTTTGAGAGAATGTTTGTTGAGTATATAGTGTATAAAGCGTATTTTGATTTCTACATTTTCATTTTTTTCTATATATTTCTATATTTAGTTTATATATACACCTTATACCTTAAACATGACACAAGATGCTTTGAATAAAATATTTGCTAATTGATTCAATGTTAATTTAAGACTAGTGTTTGCTTTCTGGGTTGATCTTGTTTTGTGGATGGTTTACTGGAAAACAAGTCAAAGAAATATTGATTAGAAATATTTGTTTGAGTAGAGAGACTAGAGTGCAAAGGTATAGTTCAGAGGATTAGCAGCAATTTGTGGGTCAATATTTTTGACAGGAACTGAGCATTAGTTTTGCTGTCTGTGGGTAGGTTTGAGTGTGTGTTTGTTTGTGCTTGTGCATGCGTGTGTGTGTGCGTGCGTGCGTGCGTGCGTGCGTGTGTGTGTGTCCGGCAGTTTATCCAGCAGCCAGCTGCAGCAACCTTCACTTCTCCATATATACAGCAGCATTCATCGCTGCCCTGATTAACACATGCTCCCACCAGCACCCTAAAACACACACCGGAATATGAAGGAATCAACCCCCACTGTTTCTCAGATCAGTAGGCCTGAACTATTATATATTATTATTATTATATATTATATATGTATATATATATATATATATATATATATATTTTTTTTTTTTTTTTTTTTTTTTTTATTTTTCTTTTCTGATCACCAAGGCTGTGCTTATTTGCTGCATTTATGTGATCAAAAATATTATTAAATATTATTAAAATGTAATTTAATTTAAATTTAATTTAATTTAATTTCAATTAAGCTTTTCTATTTGTTGTATGATATAAGATATATATATATATATATATATATATATATATATATATTCAAATGTAATTTATTCCTGTGATGCAAAGCTAAATTTACAGCATTATTACTCCAGTATTCAGTATCACATGACCCTTCAGAAATTATTTTAATATGGTGATTTGGTGTTTATATAATATTTCCTGTTATTATCAGTCAAAAACAGTTTTTATTTTTGTGGAAACAGTGGAAACTTTTTTTTTAATTCACGGATGAATAGGAAGTTCAAAAGAACAGCATTTATTTGAAATATAAATCTTTTGTAAATGTCTTTATTTTTTTTTACCATAGAATATTTATAAAGTAACACTAGATTTATAAATGCTGTAAAAATGCTTACAAACTAAACCTTGTAAAGTTTTATACGTGTGTGTGTGTGTGTGTATACAGACACCAGACACATTTTTAAAAAATGTATAATTCATATTATTGCATATGTCATGCTTTTATAAAGCCTATTATATTTTAATCAGTGCTGTAAAATGAAAGTAATATTCATCAGTAATTCATGACTGAGCATGAATGTGCTCAGGTGCGACATCCCATCCTCTATATATATGTGTGATCTCACACCACCTGAGGACATTCATGTTCAATTAGACGAGCAACACTCTCAGCATCACAATCAAACCGAGTGACAGATGATGGTGAACTGTTGTCCGGTCAGTGTGAGTGGGCAGAGCGCCTTCCTCCACAGTCATACAGGAAACAACATGGTGAAGCTGCCACAGGGCTGTGAGCTAACAGATGGAGAGCAGAGAGGCTGGATGTGGGCTGTGATCTCACGGGAGCAGAACTGAGGGGGAGCGAGAGGACTGGCAACAAAAGCGAGATCCACCCTCCGCCGCACACCACACTGACTACATGAGTCGTATTGCCTTTGAAGCACACTGACACATCTGAGCAATCATCTATAGGCTACTTATATGTGTGGAACCCATGAAAACAGGTCATATTTCATCCAAAATAAAAATGTATTTAGTGTAATTCAGGAATAGTGAAAATGCATTATTTGACATTATCTTCTTTATGTTTAGACAAATCCTGCCTAAAATACCATTACACTTTAAGTTTAAGTTGCTATTTTTTTTTTGTTTAGATTTTTTTTCTAATAATTCCAATAATTCTTAATGGCAAATCTTATTAAATTGTAATAGAACAGGTATTATAAACAAGTAATATTTTTAATATTTATTTAAATTTTATTTTTTGTTTAAATCAGCATAAATTAAAGCCAATGCAACAAATAATACCATAATGTGTAATTATTATAGCTGTATGTATATAACAAGCGTGCGGAAGGTTACTTTGGAAATCGAATAGGTTACAGATTACAAATCACCTTATTTAAAATGTAATAAGTAGTATAACTATTTCAATTACTTTAAAGTAATGTAACTGATTACATTTGATTACTTTTTGATTATTTTTCTACATTTCTAATGAATGTTTTCAACTGTTAATCATTTTCAAACATTTAAAGCAGGCAGGGTTGACCTTACAGTAGAACTCAACACTAATTACTGTCAGACTTTCAAAATCCTTCATCACTTGAATTAAGATAATAATAATTTAAAGCACAGCCACCACAAAATCAGACTTTAGCACCTCATTTTACTTTTATGATTGTTCTGAGGTTAATTACATATTTAAAATCATAGCTAGAAATAGTAAATATTAACACAAGAAATATTCAGATATAACCCCCTTTGTAATTGTTAACATTTTCATAAGTAGCTGCGATTTAATTACATTACGTTTTTTTCTCAGTAACTGTAATGGATTACAGTTACATTTATTTTGTAATTAAACTGTGTAACGCAGTTACATGTAAGTAGTTACTTCCCTGTATATAACTTTTTTTTATATATAAAATATAGTTTTTGGAATCACATCATTGAAAGTTCTATCTATTTATCTATCTATCGATCTATCTATCTATCTATCTATCATCTATCCATCTATCATCTATCTATCATCTATCTATCTATCATCTATCTATCCATCATCTATCTATCTATCTATCTATCTATCTATCTATCTATCTATCTATCTATCATCTATCTATCCATCATCTATCTATCTATCTATCTATCTATCTATCTATCTATCTATCATCTATCTATCTATTTGCAATAAAATAATTATAAATAGTGCTTAACTTTCAGTTTCAAGAATTGGTGCTTCTGTGTGTATGTATATACAGTATATATAGTGTTAGACTGCAATCGCTTTCTTGATTTTCTTCAAAGCTAGTCTATTTATAAAGGGTGTTTGCATTTGTCCTCTGTTTTAAACTTTAAGAGGATTTTCACAAGGAATTCCCTCCCTGAACACAAAGTCTCTATTTTAGTCTCAACACAGTAAGGAGGGCTTGAGAGTGATGGTCATGTGCGCAAGAGTGTGTGTGTGTGTGTGTGTGTGTGTGTGTGTGTGTGTGTGTGTGTGTGTATGTGTGTGTGTGTGTATGTGTGAAGAGAGAGAGGCTTCTGTGAATACATTAGTGGTGTAGTTGACTCTTTAACCAGCTGAAACGTTTTGGGGTGAGTTATGTTTGTCTCTGTGCTTATACATAGTGGGATGGGGTTTCACATAATAGATACTAAACAACAGGCAGTTCTAGACATACAGACATATTCCATTCCATTTATGGGGATGTGACATAAATTCGCTGTAACAAAGTAAATAATCTCCTGTAATAATATATTGCATCATAATGCCACAATACTATAAATAGAATAAGATATGTATTGTTGACATTTGCAGAATAATGAAATGAGCAAAGAAGGCCACATTCTAGCTGTAGAACAGATCAGTAGAGCAGAGTCTGATTTCATGAGTATATACCGCCCTCTAGTGGATGATTTATAGAAATACTGACAGTTTGGTTGTTGGTACAAAATCTATCTGTCTGTCTGTCAGCATCATTTTTGGCAACATCATTTCAATTATTTTTGCTTTAGTTAGTTTTGTAAATCTATATTAAGAACTTGAGCTTAATTTCCATTTAAATGATGTCACAAAAAATCTTAATGGTACTAAAAATATACTTTATTTTTCCTTTCTTTAGTTTTTTTAAATCTATTTATAAATTCTATCTATCTATCTATAAATCATCTAAAATTATCTTTAAAAAATTTATTACTTTTGATTTTATATCTTTACTCTTTCTTTATATTTATCTATCCATCTCTGTCTGTCTATCAGTTTCTCTATCTTATAAGCTTTATTGGCATGATTGGTAATGTAACGGGGCTGACGAGACGTGAGACGTGTGGATCCATCTGCAAGCTTTTATTAAAGAGATGTGGTATAACAGGCAGGGTCGAACAATGGCAAACAGGTATATGGTGGGCAAAAACACAAGAACATTCCTAGGGCTGGCAGACAGAATCACAGGGGCGAGACAAGAGGGAAAAATCCAGGAAAACAGGCATATAAATAATAAGAATATTTTAATGTATTAAAATAATATATTTGTATTTGATCTATATCTATTTATCCATCTATTAATCTTTATCAACATTTTTTTGCATTACAGTAACACAAATTTTATATTAAGAATAAGCTAAATTAAGAATTTGTGCTTAGTTTCCATTCAAATAATGCCACAAATTGAACAATTTTAATGGTTCATTGTACAGTCCATGTTGGGCTGATTTCACCGCAGTGGTCTAAAGAGCCTGTCAACCTCAAATTGAGAAAATGCTTGTTCTCAGGTCTTTGCCATGTCTCTTTCTTTCTCTCTCTACTAGAGTGAAACATCGGCCTGCAGCACATCTCCAGAGGTTGCTGTGGGATAATGCTAAAGCCCGTCCTGAGGTGTGGCTCCTGCCCTTGGCCTCATCCCAAGTCTGTGTGGTGCGACAGTCCTGCACTCAGAACACCCCCCACGCCGCTCCCCGACAGCCAATACTGATGACTCATCAGGAAAAAGTGCGATGTGATGCAGCTTCATGAAGAACACCGACTTTTACAGCGCTCATATGCATTTTGTGGCATGCACCATAACATGTCTTCGGTAACCTTTTTTTCTTTCTTTTTTTTTAGATGCACTGTATGTTTGAGAAGAATGCAGAATGTCAGCTGATTTTGAGTCTGCAAAGGATTCTGCATCAAGGAGGGTCATCAGGGTGAGACCTCTGTCTCATTCAGTATTCAGACACTGCAGAGGCACACGCTGCCACCCGCATTACAACACACACAGAGTCAGACACTCCCTCTCACTGCAACATGCTTCAATACCACGTGAACATGCAGCACCTCTGCTCACACACATCAGCCGATGAAGTAGCATGCCATACACTCACAAAATCAGTTTGATTCTGTCACATTTATGCTTCATTTTTCTGCAGCCTTACTTTTTCCATTTTATCTATATTATTTATTTCTATCTATCTATCTATCTATCTATCTGTCTATCTGTCTGTCTGTCTGTCTTTATATCTGAGATTAACAATCTCTATATTCATGATAATGAATATAATAAAGGTCCTTATTATGATCAATAATAAGCTGCACTGCAAAAGATACTCGATGGAATATTTTGGTTCCCCAGAATCTTCTGGAAATAGATGCCTCATATTCCCTATTGTGGGGACTTCAAGTTCCTCAAAACTAGTTTATGAACCACTTACAGCTCAGGCACTTTTAGGCTCCATTTTGGCCTTTGAAAGGGCGACCAGCGATGCTCCAAAAGTCCCCAAAATGTAGCTTTTCATTTGTACTTCTTTTGTCCTTTATTTATCCTCACTTTTATTCTCTGCACGATGACAATCTACATCTCCATCGCATGAAAAAGGATGAGTGGCCACGAAAGCAAAGACAGTGAATGACTGAGCTCTCTCCTGGGACTCTGTCTTTTTGCTCGGGGTTGCAGGTTTCCCCCTCTACCACCGCCCCTGCGTCAGATGATGCTCGCGGTCTCAGCCTATAAAAGATGCCGGTGTGCCATCCCGACTGGAACTCTCTCTCTCTTTCTCTGTCTTCCCACATCCACACACTTCACTCACTCGGTCTGTGATCTCGACCATTTCAGCATGAGTTATTCCGGCGACATGTACACGAGCAGCTCATACAGGAAGATTTTTGGAGATGCGCCACGGCGCGTCCCCGTGGGCAGCAGCCCGTCCCGGGTGACGGTGAGTTACCGCTCCGGACCCCAGCAGCAGCACCGCACCTACGGCTCCCCATCCCCCATGATTACCTCCTCAAGTTACCGGACCAAACTCGCATCCGGCCGCGGCGGCGGCTTCCAGCCCATGCCGGACACCGTGGACCTGACGCAGACCACCGCCATCACCAATGAGCTGAAGATCATCCGCACCAACGAGAAGGAGCAGCTGCAGGGCCTGAACGACCGGTTCGTGACGTTCATCGAGAAGGTGCACAACCTCGAGCAGCACAACAAAGTTCTGGAGGCGGAGGTCGCGCTGCTGCGCCAGCGCCACAACGAGCCGTCGCGCCTGCACGACCTCTACGAGCAGGAGATCCGCGAGATGCGCGCACGAGTCGAGGAGCTGACGCACGAGAAGAGCCAGATGCACCTGGACTGCATGCAGATGAACGAAGCTTTGGAGCGCGTCAAGGAGAAGCTGGACGAGGAGACCCGACTGCGGGAGGAGGCCGAGAACAGCCTGAAGGGATACCGCAAGGACGTGGACGACGCTACCCTGTCCCGCCTGGAGCTCGAGAAGAAAGTTGAGTCCCTGCTGGATGAGATCGCGTTCCTCAGGAAAGTGCACGAGGAGGAGCTGCAGGAGTTACAGGCGTCGCTTCAGGCCACCCAGGTATGAAAAACTAAAAGGTATGTAAACATTAAAAAAGAAAAAAAAGATTGAACTAGACCAGTCTGGTGAATGGTTTTAGAGGGGATTTGGGCACTTTTCAGCTGGTCAGGCTGGGATGCCAGTTAAAACCTGTTTTACTAGTCTGGGAGACCATTTGAAACCAGCTAAGACTGGCCACGCTGAGAGACAAGCTAGACCAGTTGCAGACCAGTCTGGTCTGAGTTGTTTTTAAGCTAAGACAAATTATGCACATACTATATTGTAATCTACATAATATACAATGTTTAAAAAAAGTTCAATTATTATAAAATATGTTTTATATAAGAACATGTTCAATTTACAGTGTAAATCTTATTTGATAAGAAAAGATTAGAAATAAAATTATGAAAATCATAGAAAGCCAAATGGTGCATATGCTGTAGATGTAATTTAAATCACAAACATTTTTTATGCAGCATAAAAAAAGATTTGGTCAGTTTTTCTAAAATATGCTTTACATACTAACTGCAAAAGTTATTATTTGTACCATTTGTCATTAACATCTCATATTACTGTTTTGCAGTGCCATTCATGACAGTGTGATTTATGCAGTGGCATAAAGATGCAGATCTATGGGAATAAAATTTTTATTAACTTCCTGTAAAATCAAACAAGTTGTGGTTAAGACAAATATTTCATGTTTTAGATGGTTTGGTAATTGCTACATGATATATATTGTAAAATGTTTTGTCAGGAAACAAAAATGTCCTTTTATTTAAACATGATTATTATTTTAAATATTATAATGTTTATATTTAAATTATTATATTTATATTATATTTTTATATTGCATATGAGTGACTCAACCTGACTACATTGGTTTACATCAGTTAAAGTCATTTAAAGGTCATATCAGGAAGAAATATCTTTATAAGCTAACACCTTTTTACGATGTATGATAAAACATATTTGAAAAGATGTGATTATGAAAAGCATATAAAAATCTTGTATTTAGAAATGCAATGAAATACTATGTTTATTAATAACTCATAGTGTGGGCATGCGTAGCATGACTGTGCAGTGTCATTGAGGGCGGTGTGTGTGTCTGGGAGAATTTACAGCACTGCAGCTCCGACATTGAGAATCTGACCCTGCACTGCACCAGGATCTCCGTCAAAATGTGCATTTATAGTGCCAGTCCCTTCTCTCATGCAACTTTAACATATAGAAAAGTATATTTAATCAGACCAAGACAAGGACAAGCACTTAGAGAGGGAGAAATGTATTAAGAGTTAAAAGAAGATTGCTGGTGATGGGAAGGTTTAAACATCCTTACCTCTTGCCAATGGCAGATATTGATGCAGTAGCGCAGGATTTTAGGTGTGGCTGCAGAGTGCAGCAGGACCCCGCGGCGCAGCGTCCTTGAGAGAGACTGCTTCACTTTAGACTCCCTCAGCTACTTCTGAGAGTATTTCTACACTACAGAAGATAACATTTCCAGCTGAGTTTCATTTAAAAGTATCTTGGATAAAAGTAATAAACTTCCCTTCCGTGTTTTATCTGAAATTAAACTCAAGCTAGAGAATTAGAATGTAACTGATGTAAGCTGATGCTCATCATGCATGGATTGCTGTTCTCTGCGTGTGGTTGATGAATTGCTGTTGCATCCCGTGAAAGCATTCAGGCAGCTTCATCTTTCATTGTGCATTAAAACCCCTGAGTATGCACTCCATCCCGCAGCCCCAAGGGCTCAAAACTTCATTACCACACATTACACTCAAAGGCTGATTAAATGTGCCATGGCCAACATAAGGACAGCATATATCAGCTCTACTGCTTTTTCACTGCCAATGCAACTTCACTACCTGATGGACATTGGTTTATTGATTATATTCACTGGAAAGCTGTTTATTTATCAGTATATTCAAATGATCACTGACACATTTAAGCAATTTTCTATATATGTAAAGAATGTCTCATATTTATGCCAATAAATATATGCAAAAGCAACTATATGAATAGCTATAATTTACTTTCCCTTTAGCTCAAATGTAAAGGAGTTGTTAAGGTAATTAATTATTCATTAGAAATCAATAATGAATCAGCAACTAAATTGCAATTTCCTCACCAGATCAATACTAGTAAATTTGACAAACTAAAGACTATTTATTGTATTCACCACCATTGAAAAGTATAGGAGTACTGTTTTCTATTCGAATATATTGTAAAATGTAATTTATTCATGTGATAAAGCTGAATTTTCAGCATCATTGCTCCAGTCTTCAGTGTCACATGATCCTTCAGAAATCATTCTAATAAGCTGATTTGCTGCTCAAGAAACATTTCTTATTATTATCAATGTTGAAGGCAGTTGTGCAGCTTAATAATTTTGTGGAAACTGTGATACATTTTCAAGTATTCTTTGAAGAACAGTATTTATTTGAAATAGAAATCTTTTGTAACATTATAAATGTCACTTTTTATTAATTTAATTCATCCTTTGCAAAAGTATTAATTAAGTAAAGTATAAATTAAATATTGAAAAAATCTTACAGATCTCAAATTTTTGAATGGTAGTAGTAAATCCTATTTTGGCTGTCAACAACCTATTAATATTTTTTTAAGATCAGGCTGTATATTAGTGTTATTAGACTATTAGCATTAGATTTATATTTTAATGTTAGATTTATATTAAATCTAACATTATATCTATTATAACAATTCGTTTGTTGACTGTTTTTCATGCTCAGGTGTCTGTTGAGATGGACGTCAGTAAGCCTGACCTTGCTGTGGCCCTGAAGGACATTCGTGCTCAGTACGAGTCTCTCTCTGCCCGGAACCAGCAGCAGTCAGAGGATTGGTACCACTCCAAGTTCACCACTGTGACGGAGGCAGCGGCGCGCAACAACGACGCTCTGAAGCAGACCAAGGATGAGCTGTTTGAGTACCGCCGACAGCTGCAGGGCCGCACGCTGGAGATCGAGGCCTTGAGAGCCCATAACGAGGCCTTAGAGAGACAGCTAGCGGAGATGGAGGACCGCCACAACAACGAGATCGGCGAGCTACAGGTGAGTGCATTTTAATGATACGTACAGCACAAATCTGAGGCCACTAGTAAATTTGCTCCTATTTTGAATTTTTCTAATTTAATTAATTAAATTCTATTATTTTTCTGTTTTAATGTATTAAAAAATTTAATTTATATTAAAGCTGAATTTTCAGCAGACATTACATTAGTGTCACATGATCCTTCAGAAATTATATTTTGCATTTTTCTAATTTAATTAAAAATATATTATTTAGCATATTGATATATTATTGTAGTATTGGTTAATATTTTGAATTAGATTAGATTTTTATATATTCTGTTTTCATTTTCATTTTAATTAAAGTTTTAGTAATTTTGTAGTGTGCTTTTGTCTCTTTTATTGGTTTTTGTTTTTTCTATATAGTTTTTTTTATATTAAATTTTAGGTTTTAGCTTTAGTTTATTTAGCTTTAGTTATTGTAGTACTTACATTTAACAAAAAAAAAAAGTTGCTTTGGCAACAAATAAAATGTCAATTTTTTTTATAATTTATTGTATTTCAGTTAATGTTTATTTTATTTCAGGTAATGAAAATGCTTTTTCATGGTTTTATCTTTAGATTTAGTTAACGATAATAACCCTGTGAACCACATCTGCATTTTGTGATAAGAATGAAAAAATATTAATTTATGAATATAAATATAACCTGCTGATCATGTGATCCTGCGTGGTTTGAGAGTGATCCAAAGAGCATTGAAAGAACATCTGACTTTACATGAGCAGCGTCACAAAATTTGCTTGTTAGTTAGTTAGTTAGTTAGTTTATTTATATAGCACATTTTAATACAACAAAGCGTTGACCAAAGTGCTGTACAAAATCAACACAGTTTAAAAACACATTTACACACCATAACACACAAACAAGACAGCTAAAACATAACATAAACAATACCTCAACACTCTGCTGGCTCAAACGCTAAGGAAAGAAGGTGAGACCTTAGGCTTTCAAGATCACTAAAAGAGAGACACGACTTAAACTTTGCCAACAGTCGTAAGTGAAAGAAACTTGATTTAACTACTGAGTTAATCTGTTTATCAAATTTCAGATCATTATCAAACAAAACCCCTAGGTTTTTGACAACAGGTTTACAATAAGTGGTCAGCTCACCTAAATTTAACAGTTTAGGAAGTGCAGGATCCCCAAACCAGACAAGCTCTGTTTTACTCTCATTAAAATAAAAAAAAATTTGACGACAACCAGGTCTTAACCTCAACATTTCATAAGATAATTAAGGGCATTTCCATCATTATTCTATATTCTTAAAGGGCATATAAATTTCTGTGTCATCAGCATAAAAATGGAAAGCAATTCCATGTTTACAAAAGATTGACCCTAAAGGTAAAATATATAATGAGAAGAAAATAGGGCCGAGAATAGACCCTTGAGGGACCCTGCATGTCAGTGGTACAGAGGATGAAAAAGTCTGAGCAATGTTGACAGAAAAACTCCTATTTGAGAGCAATCGAGAGCAGAGCCTTGAATGCCAACCACCTCCTCAAGACGGGAAATAAGAACCCCATGGTCTATTGTGTCGAATGCTGCACTAAGGTCTAACAGCATAAGAACTACAGAGTGTCCTGAGTGATTAGTGATTATGTGATTAGTGACTTAAAAATTCTAAAAAGTTCAAATAAAATAGCTTTACAATGTGCTCTCAAAGTTTTGGATCCCGCTGTAATAAAAGACATTATCTAATGTGTTTTCAAAAGAAATGCAGAAGATTTCCTATCGGAAATAAGTTTTTGGAGACATAAATGTCTTGTTTGCTCTGTAGGACACTATTCAGCAGCTGGAATCTGCTCTGAGGAGCACAAAAGGTGAGATGTCCCGCCACCTGCGTGAATACCAGGACCTGCTGAATGTCAAGATGGCACTGGACATTGAGATCGCAGCCTACCGGTCAGACTCAGAACTATTCGCATTTGACGTAATAATTTTTTTGTGTAATTTATCAGTGTTCCATATTTATCCATATATGGCCGTTCCCAACAGGAAGTTGCTGGAAGGTGAGGAATGCCGTCTGAGCTCTGTGGGCGGAGCCATGCTGCAGTCTGCCTACTCTTATCCATCGAGCCGCACTTATGCCCTAAGCGCTTACAGAAAGGTTGAAGCCAAACCTGAGACAGAGGAAGAGGAAGAGCAAGAAGAGGAGGAGGAGAAGGAAGAAGAAGAAGAAGGAGAGGAGGAGGAGGGAGGAGAGGAAGGAGAGGAGGCAGAGGAAGGAGAAGAACAGGAAGAAGGAGGTGAGGAGGAAGAGGAGGAGGAAGAACAGGAGGATGAGAAGGAAAAGGAAAAAGTAGATGAGAAGAAGGAAAAGGAAGAAAAGAAGAGCCCAAAGGAACAGAAAGAGAATGAGAAGGAGAAAGAGAAAGAAAAAGAAAAGGAGAAAGAGAAGGAAAAGGAGAAGAAGAGCGATAGCAAGAGTGAAAAGGGGGACAATAACAAGGGCGAAAAGGCCGCTGCGGTCAAGAGCAAGTAAAGCTGCGTACCATCACCGATCCTGCCACTGCTGTACTTCACTCACTCACACATCCGTCTGGACCCCTCCGTGTCCTCCTTACCTCTCTGTCCCTCTGCCAAATTCACCACCACCAAACAAACATCATCCACTCATCTTCACTTTCATTTCACTAGGTATGGCTGATTTCATCTACTGATGTATCAGGATCTCTGCGGGAAAGCAACAAGTCGGTAATGAAGGTACTAAAATGGAAGGCTGGCTAGTTTTCTGTATAGCACTCAAGAGATTAAACAGCGTCTATGCAGAGAGTATTTGAAGTAGTTCAGCCAAAAATGGCAATTTTGTCATAATTTACTTTCTTTCAAAAGGAGATATTAGGCAGAATGTTGGAGTTTGTGTTTTTTAATACAACAGAAGTGGATGCTGAGTAAACTTCCAAGCTCCATAAAGACAAATAAGCAGCATCTACGGATCATAATTATTGTTCATGCAATTTGTGCAAGTCTTCTGAAGTTGTATGATTTGTGTGACAGAACGTCTGAAATATAAATCATTTTTCACTTATAATCTTCATATCTCCCTTGCGCTCAAAACGTAAAGTGATTGTTCACCCAGAAATTAAAATATTGTCATCATTTAGTCTCATTTACTCATGTCATTCTAAAACCATTAGACTTTGGTCAATCCAGGTAACTAAAACTTAAAAGATCCAGAAAAGCTTATAACGGTTTTTTGTTTTGGGTGGGGGTTGGCAGTAAAAACCACTTCATGCACTTCTATTGTATGGAAAATAAGAACTTTACGTTTAAGCCAGTCTTTGTGTTTCACTAAAGAGAAGACAATAATATGGGATCAGAATGACATTAGGGAGTGTAAATGATGGCAAAATGTTACTTTTTCACATCAAGACAGCAAAGACCCCAGTCCCACCTGGTGTTCACGTGCCATTATTGCCAGTAGTGCAAATGACAGCACAAGGGAAGGTGATGCCATGCAATCCAAATGCACAGGCAATCGGTGCAAAACAGACCAAGTGTGCAGGTTCCAACCTCTCGGTGCTATTTGATTTTAAAAATAAATGAGTTTGGACTTGGAAGAGGTAATTACTCATAGAGCAAAAGCATATCCATTATATAGAGCTTCACTTGAGTCCTGAATGTATGTCACGAGCCAAGCACAGGGACATGCACCTCTCCTAATTTTCCAGCAATTTAAGGGCATCTATACCCACATGAATGAAAGTGTCCAAGTTCATTTAATTAAGTTCACTCATAGGTTAAAGAATGTTTCATTTACATTGTCATGCAAAGCATCCATCATTTTTGAACATTAATGTATGCATCCGTCCATCCATTTATGGTTTCCTTAATTGCACTGGTCACAGCACGGCAAACGTGGCGGCATGGAGTTCAACGAGGTTGATGAGATAAAAGATTAAATATTTATGGATTTCTTGGGGAGGGTTTCAGCATTTAGATTTGGGAGAGAAGAGTGCATTGTGCATCTGTAGTGTGGGAAAATCCTTCTGCAATTTAGATTCTGACGCTTTAGAGACGATTGCTGCTAAATATCCCTCTTTTCCTTCCTGTGTTCAAAAATGACCTCCTCTTGATTGATTCATTCTTGCTGGAGCAGATCTCTATATTTCTGAAGTAAATCTTCCTCTCCATCCTCTTTATGTATTTCCCTTATTCTCTCTTTCTCAGTGTCTTTTTCCAGCTTTCTCTTTCTAATCCGTGGCATGACTTCCTTCTGAAAGATGGATAAGTTTCCTGTGTTTAGCCCTTTTTTGTGTGTTTCTGCTCACAAAAGGGTGAATTTTGTTATATGCCCTGGCCACTAATGAAATCAGAAGAAAAACATTTTTTTTGTAAAAAGAAAATGAAGATTACTTTTAAGATTTGTTACTCCCACACCCAATGTATTACAGTAAAAATAATGAGAACAATAAATAATATTTTTTACTATAATACTTGGTATGTTTTATAGTAAAAATGCTGTAATATTAAATTAAATTGAATTAAATTAAATTATTTTATTGGCAGTACAACAAATGCTACCATGATGTATAAATGCTTTACCATTTAAATAAAGCATAATTTTTTATCACTTTATAGTAGTTGGAACTGGGAGGAAGGTGTTTAATTTGAATGCAAATGCAAAAAAATCTTAATCATCACACACTTTTTTTATGCACAAATTTTCTTTTCTTTTGATTTTGGGGATAAATATGGTCTGGGCATGCTCTGGACTCAAATGGAAGAGAAAAAGAATGAGTCTGTGTACATTATTTTTTATGTTTGTGCATGTTTGTTGTGTGTGTGTGTGTGTGTGTGTGTGTATACAAGAGCTTTCCTGCTTCAAGAAGCACTGTAAACACCCGTGTTTGTCTGCAGCTCTGCAGCTGGCGGTGATGGATCCGGCTCTATTCTCTCCCTGCAGGTGACAGGCAGGACATAGAGAGGGCAGAGGGGTCACAGACAGTCACACCAACAGCCAATGTGAAGTGCTATTAACCGCCACATGATTACTCCAGAAAAACCACCATTACAAGAACTCATTCAGACAGCTATCTGAACCACCGCTAATGACCCTTCACAATGCAGGCCTGCTTGACTGAAAGATTACAGAACGCAGATTATGTGACATTTCGGGCTAGTGTCTCGGTTTACAAAATTTAGAGCTGTGAGAAAGCATCGGGATTGTTTCTAAAATATGCCCTGATCTTCATCTGTCACAATAAATAAACTTATGAAACAAACAACATGCAATACTTTGCTATATATTTATTTTTAAAAATGGTTTATACATAGCAACATCATGGATGGAAAAATAACTAATGAAACCAACTGAGCATTTTGTCATATTTTACAAGAAATTCTTTCTATTTATGCATTTTTGTGATGTTGAATGGGTGGCTTGTTTCAGATCAAATCTCAGTTGGTGTGACTTCATCATTTCTTCTTACATAAGCCTTTGTGCATATAAAAAGTTTAATGTCTGCCCACAGAATATGGTTCTGTGTTTACCAGAATTGTTATATTAAAGCTTGGATGAAATTAGTGAATTGTGGTGACAGTGATATTAAAGCAAGTTTACTGCAGGATTTGACCTCATTTTTGCAGCGACTTACAATTTAAAAGAGTAAAGGAAGGAAGAGCAAGATTTCCAACAAATGTGATAAAACAGTACAGATTATTCATGAAATGAATCAATCAAGAGGAGGTTCAATTTGCATGGCCTGATTCACTTGGAGCTTGACAATATGAAGGGGTGGGATAGATTTGCTTGATGTGTGTAAAAATGTATGTAAATGCCTTAATCATGAATCTAAACTGCTTAAAAGAGTCCTCATGTTTTCTGCATCTCAACAGTGTTTTAGAGATGGTTCAGGAGTGATGACACTTTAACTGTATGGCTGCTAACTGATACAGTGATGTTCCCCTAAAGCCAAATAAAGCCATTCATCAACCAAACGTACCATACACTGCCTCTTTGTCTCCAATTGATGTGTTATATCAGACGAACATACCTATACACACACTATCCAGAAACTATAACTCACCAGAGTCAAATAGTTGTGACTTGGCAATGTTGGGAGTTTAGCTAACAATTTGAAATGCCTTTACTTTTTTTAAAGTATCAGCTCAGTTGTCTTCAATGTAGAGATAGATTTTATTGTTTAAAAAAAAAAAAATTTTTTTTTTAGTTAAAGTGCTACACCCTACTAACAAAAAAAGCTAACTACACCAAAACTATTTAAAATGAATACTGACATTGTGATTGTGTCTGTCTTTGCCAAATGAATAAATGCTTATGTTTAGTAATTGTGATATATAATAATAATAAAAAATCACTCTTTATGTAGTTTCAATATTAGCTTTTTTTTGCAGCTTTTTTATCAAAAGAGTACTTAAAGTCTGCGTGAACCGGAAGTTGCTGCCGACTTTATTTCAGTGTAGTGACGTATTTCCAGCTGAAACGGAATATTGAATAGAGGGCATGGTTTTATGTTTGCTCCTCCTCTCTGTCTCTCACGCATAGCAATCTAACGGTTGGAGGGGTGTGATTAACTTGCACGGATTAATTGTTCACATCATTACTAGCAATGTGCACTAGTAAAGTAAATAAAGTCAATTTTGATTTCATGCCGACTTTAATGTACATCCAGGAATCCAAGCCATATGTAATTTCGCATCATGACTAAATTTTCAACGTGCAGATTTCGCTACGGGTTCAAGTTGGTGGCGCGTATTCACCGCATTGAACAAAAGAAAGCTTTACATTGACAATAGAAAATTTGCGGTTTTATATATCGATAAAATTCCACGTACAAAAATGGTCAGTCGTTCATTGTCAATAGTGTAGTCACACAGCACCTTTCACATTTAAAGGTGCTGTATGTAAGTTTTTGACTCTACTAAAGCATAAAAATACCATAATATGTTTGCAGATATTTAAGAAACATGCTAAGTTAACATATTTGTTTATCTGAAAAACAATGCTACAGTCAGTTATTCTCCTTTGAAAATGTGCGTTCCGGGCCGGAATGTCGGGCTGTGTTTTGGTTTGTGAAACCCGCCCACTGCCAGTTTACCCAATTGTATCTCGGCACCCCGGGTTGCCAGTTGGCGGGAAACACAGCGTAATTAAAGTCATGAAAGCTGGCAAACGAAAGGGGTCAGAGCGGGAAATAGAACTTTCTGCCCATCCTAATTAGATTTCAAAGTCAGAAATAAATTATAGTATTTTACACCTCACAATGAATAACTGTCTACTTGATTACGTTTACAACCGCCTCAATGTATGCGGCCGAAAAATGCCACCTCTGGAGGACACAGCAGCAGCCTCCGAAATGAGACGCAGATTCAGATTTATAAAAATACACATGAGGTGGTTTATAATTGGCAAACAATACAAATATTGCAAACGTACACATTAGCTCATCAACTTGACTAAGTCCGTTGGTAAGGCTCAATGCTTTCCATCGTCAGGTGCGCTCGTTCCTGTTGGTGTCGTCAATCTGGCAACCTGCGTGTGCGTCAAGACTGAGGATTTGGACTGCAATACCTAGTTCAACCACTCGGTGTCAATCCTACATACAGCACCTTTAAGACTTTAGATATACAAAGAAGGAATGGGAGAAAGTGCAACGTGCAAAATGGTGGAATAGTCCCGCCTTCTAGATAAAAGAGCCAATCACTAATTGGTAAAGCCATCATGTCACTGCAGCTGCCGAAGCTCCGGTTGCTGTAGAAAGACGTGCGATTAGCGCCCTGTTTAAACTAGTGTGTTTTCGTTTTAAAACAGCTTTGTAAAATGAAAACGATCATTGTCTTGACTGGCGTTTACACTGCGTTTCAGAAACGTCTCCGTCCACACTACACAACCGAAAATGCATGTCATATGACCATTCAACAGGAAGTTGGTTTCTAGTCACTGGCAGGTACAACAGCGAGCACGATGGCGAGGAAAAGCAAGAACGTCTTTGTTGCTGATTGTTCTAAGCACAGCTTGCCTCTTGCGCATGTAGGCAGCTGCTGTATTATAAAATAATGAATTTTTCTGCACAATGGCTGCTAAAAATGACAACAAAGCCAGGAAAGTTTGCAGTTTGGGCACCTGTCCCAAATCGCACCCTAAACCCTTGCAGTCTACCTCAGAGTCCACACTTTCATGGCGTAATGCCACTTTGACCGTCGGGTAGAAGTCTGCTGTGGAGCTTACCTCAGAGCGGGCTCGGCAGAAGTGCACATCGAGGGCGCATAGCGGCCACAAAGGCTGAAAAGCTAAAATGAAAGCTAAAATGATGAATGAGACACCCTCGGTGCATTTTCAAACGGGATATATCGCCCTCTGAAGGGCTCTTCGGAGTGAAAACAATAATGGCTGCCATATTGAAGGGTCGTTCCAAACCAAAGTGCTCAAAACTGGCCACTTCAAAGGGCCCATCGGAATGAAGAATTTTGAAGGGTACAACTGATGGACACTTCAGGCCCATGTGATCCCTTGGCGTCATTTACCGAAAAATGTATGCATAGTATTTCTCTATACTACACTCTAAAAAATGCTGGGTTAAAAAGGGACAAACCCAGCTACTTTCATGGCGTAATGCCACTTTGACCGTCGGGTAGAAGTCTGCTGTGGAGCTTACCTCAGAGCGGGCTCGGCAGAAGTGCACATCGAGGGCGCATAGCGGCCACAAAGGCTGAAAAGCTAAAATGAAAGCTAAAATGATGAATGAGACACCCTCGGTGCATTTTCAAACGGGATATATCGCCCTCTGAAGGGCTCTTCGGAGTGAAAACAATAATGGCTGCCATATTGAAGGGTCGTTCCAAACCAAAGTGCTCAAAACTGGCCACTTCAAAGGGCCCATCGGAATGAAGAATTTTGAAGGGTACAACTGATGGACACTTCAGGCCCATGTGATCCTTTGGCGTCATTTACCGAAAAATGTATGCATAGTATTTCTCTATACTACACTCTAAAAAATGCTGGGTCAAAACAACCCAATAGCTGGGTTTGTCCCTTTTTAACCCAGCATTTTTTTAGAGTGTACTCTAATATTTATACGAGTTAGATTTGGTACATTGTTATGGTCAAAACGACATTGTTCTTCAACAAAAATACTTTACAGCTACCTTTATCAGTCCATTCAAATATTTCAAATACATAGACACAATATACATTACAAATACATATTACATTACATTACATACAAAAATATAGATTAAATTTAATGTAAAAGATGATTGTGGGTCAACCAGCGTACAAAATGTGTGACGAAGGTGCCTCCTTGATCGTCTCGTTAAGGTGACGCAGAAGTGCATTCAAAAAAAAAATTTTTTTTT